ATCAGTATTTGATATCATTGAACCATCACTGCATCCCATCTTCAATCTTTCACTGCATCCCATCTTCAATCTTTCACAATGAATGTATACACAATTCATATACATCTTGTTTTACAGTTTATGTACAAAATAAAATATGGACTCCACCGATATTTCAACCAAATTTTAGTGAAATAATTCATAAATACCCTATAGGGTATTTATGAATTATTTCGCTAAAATTGTGTTCTAGTCTCTCTCAGAAAATCTAGTATACTAGATTCTCATAAAACAACTTTGTCATCCCAAAGTTTACATTAAAGCTAAATTCATACTCAGTTCAATACCGCGGACTTTATGTGTGGAAATATTTCCCCCAGTTTGTTACTATCAAGAAATATACACTTAAGCAGTTCAAATCTGAATAAAAGTGCTTTTAATTATCTACATTCTTGAATTTTCTTTTTTTTTTTAATTAAAATAATATACCTAGCTCAATTTACTTCTTTATTTGCTTTTTTTTTTATTTTTTATAAATTTATTTTTCAAAAAGAATTTATTTATTAACATTTATATCAATTATAAAACTCAGTTTTACACATTTTATATATATTTTATCACAAGCATTTATCAAAATTTTATATATTTTATTGTAAAAAACTTCATGCAATTAAGCCATTATGGGGCTCGGTGATACGACAAACTGATGTCTTCCATTTGCTCTAGCCATTTGTTTTATTATTTATGTTATTTTACAAATTTATAAATAAATATACCTTAATTTTATGCGAGGGTGGTTCCGGACAACGTTATCCATTTACATGTTAAATATAAGCAACTTTTTTTATATAAATATTAATTTAATAAATGAGAACAAAATATGGTGTACCCCAAGGTTGCATTCTTGCTCCTCTTTGTTTCTTATTTATATAAACGATCTTTCAAATGCCTCTAATATCTTTAAAACTATGTTTGCCGACGACACAAACTTATTTTACTCACCAAAGACAATTGAAGACCTTTTTAAAAAAACTAAATAAAATTAATATATGGTTTAAATCCAATAAACTGTCACTCAATATAGAAAAAACTAAGTACATACTATTTCACTCTAATCAACAAATTAAAAAAATACCCCTGAACCTACCAACACTTAATATAGAAAATATAATCATCAAAAGAGTTCTGAATACAAAGTTTTGGGAGTTCAAATTGACAAACATATCTCCTGGAAACCCCACATAAATTACATTAACACAAAAATAACAAAGACCATTAGTTTACTATACAAAGTAAGACCATTTTTGTCACAAAAAAGTCTAAAACTTGTCTACTTTTCATTCATGCATAGCTACCTGATGTATGCAAATATAGCATGGGGCAGTACCCACAAATCTAAATTAGAACCACTTTACCTACGTCGAAAACACGCTTCAAGACTAGCATACAACAAAAATAAATTTGCTCATGCTCAACCCTTATTGGAACAAATGAACGCACTAAATATATTTCAAATAAATATTTTTCAAAATATACTTTTCATGTTTAAGTATAAACTAAATCTGGCTCCAGAACATTTTACAGCACACTTTTTGAAAAACAATATAAATAAATACAATACGAGAGCAACAGGCAACTTTAAAATACCGTTTGAAACAACAAGACTCTCAAAATTCTCAATTACATATCGTGGACCCTATTTATTTAACAAATTAGTTTCCAGAAACGAATCGCTATTAAACCTAAACAACGAACACTCTCTGAAAATAAAGCTAAAATCTACAATAGTCAAATTAAACAACTATAATTATTTTTTTTTAAATATTAATAAAAAAAAATTAAAAAAAATGTAGCTTAACTTTTAATACAAATCGATAATAAAAAATAATAATATTAATAACAAGGTATATATGTACAACATACATATATACCACGTATACAAGTGATTTTTATGTGTATAACACGTCCAGAAAAAGGTACTCGATGACAAGACTTACTTAAGTCTTCTGCGAGCTTCCTATAACTAGTAACAAGTAATTTTTCTTATCAATCTTACACAAATTTCGTTTTTATCATATTTATACACAAACATTAGTTTGAAATGTGGTAAATAAACTTATAGTCAAACATCTAAACACTTCTCCGAAAAATTAAGTAGTTTATTTTTATTTATTGTATTTTTTTATTTTAACTGGAATAATATAGAGATATATTTATTGAATTATTTTTACGTACACGTTACTACATTTTTGTAATTGGTGTTTATTTTAATCGTGTCTCGGAGTTGTATGCAACTATATTTTTGTTTACTTCGTATATTTCGAACTTTATGTTTATGATATTTATGTTTGTATATCTTTACCGCCAATCTGTGATTGGTTACTTGTAAATACTTTGTAGTTGTAAAATAAACATGTAAAAAATATATATATACAAACCCATAATAATAATTTATTTAATTCCAATAAAAAGACTTAAATTTTAAAAAAGTGTTTATTTTCCATTAATAAAATGTTAATGTTTATATTTCTAAATGATGACATTTTCATTTCCATTCTTTATATATCAAAGGCAACTTTTAAATGCGATTCTTTTTTTTAAATGTGTTGAAAACAATCCAATGCTAATTAGTTATATATTATATTTGTGTCACACGGGTGAAAATGATTTAAAATCATGGTTAAACTTTTTCCAGGGCTGCCCTTCAATTTTGAAACATGCCTTTTTTCTGACATTTTTCTATTATGTTTTGCATACCATTAAGGTAAACAATAATTTTTTTTTTGTTTTTCAATTCAATAAATAAAAATTCTTGCTTTTAAAAAAGTCTTTAAACACTTTGTTTTTTGTTGGTGTATTTTTTTTTGTTTGTTTGTTTATATTGTGTTACAGTTTACAATTATATAAATCGTAATACAATTATAGAAATAACTTTACAAATAAAAGCTTTACATATATAAACAAGGCTTCTGATAGAAGATCTCATTGATCTTGTCGTCAGAACCTTTTAAAAGCGTAAAAGCAACAACAACAGCAAAAATTAATAAAAAATATTAATAAATATTATACAGTGCTTTATTGCATATTAGAAGTAATTTATTATATCGTTTATAGAAAAAATAAATTTTTTTAGTTTATTTTTAAAAAATTCAAATGAAGTTGATAAATCAAAATTATTCAAAACAATTTTGTTTCAGAGATAAGGTGCACGATATCCAATACAAAATTGATTAAACTTTGTACGACAAAGTGGTTCATTTAAAAAATTATCATTTCGCAAAATATATTTGTTTATTTTTTTGATAAAGAAATCCTTAAAAGTAGATAGGGTTGAGTCATCTTTACATTGAAACTTTATATTAAAACAAAAACACAAAGTTTTATAAATGTTGATTTGATATACATTAAGGACATGACCATCTTTAAATAAAAAATTTGAATGCTTTAAACGATATTTAAAATATATTAAACGCATAGCGCGTTTATGACGACATAGCATAACGCGTTTCTGACGACAATAAAGAAGTTCCAATTTACTTTTGATTGTGCTTCCCCAAGCAAAATTGGCATAGTTAATATAACTATGTATAAAGGAGCAGTAGAGTTGCATTATACTCTTTTTATCTAAATAAAATCTTAAATAGGATGCCAATAATTTTAGCAACTTTATTGCTAATGTAGTCAATATGAGTTTTCCATGTAATATTTTAATCAAGAGTTATTCCTAAAAACTTTGTGGCAATTTCTCTTTTTATTTCAATTTTATCAATATATAGTTTTGGCATAAGGTTAGGCAAAAATCGTTTTTTCGTTAATGGATGAAACAGAATATATTTTGTTTTGTCTAAGTTTAAAGTTAATTTATTACATTTAAAGTTAATTTATTACATTTAAAGTTAATTTATTACATTTAAAGTTAATTTATTACATTTAAAGTTAATTTATTACATTTAAACCAGTTAGAGATAAGCTTAAGTTCTTTATTCATTTCGTAGAAGAGTTTCGTAATGCTAAGTTTTGATGCAAATAAATTTGTATCATCAGCAAGCATGATGTTTTTAAGTTTAATTATTTGTTTATATCATTTTTTCCTTACGTGTCCGGGGCTACCCAATTTTTCCCTAATAATAGTTTATGTAAATATTTAATTTTGTCACTATAGAAGTTAATCAAATAATCATGTTGAAGCGGATGATAAGAGACTGGATTACAAACAATTGATGGTACATTTTTCCAATCATAAAATTAGCAATAAATTATTGCTAATTTTATGCAATTTTTTTTTAATATATATTATTAAATAATATATATTAAAAAAAAAAAATTGTAATTAAACACTTTTAAAAGTCTTTTTATATTTTATTAGATTCAAAGTGTCTTCTAATTCAGTCTTTTCTTTATATATATATATATATATATATATATATATATATATATATATATATATATATATATATATATATATATATATATATATATATATATATATATATATATACATAAAATCCAAAAAAAACTGAGGATGTGGAGGACTATTTTTTTAAATTGACGATTGTGCCCCTTCACTTGTGCCTCTTCACTTCAAAACCCGTGACGTCGGCCATGAACTAAATCATAACCAAATTAAACTTATTTATCTATTTATTTGATTTTACATAAAAAAAATTTCTTAAAAAAAATTTCGAATATTATATTCGCAATTAAGAGGAATTCAAATCGATTGCTTAAAGGACCGGAAAAAAACCTCAATCATGCCGTTTAAGTAACAAAAATACTTTGAAAAACGGAAAATGCAAAATTTATTTTCTAAATTTAAATAAAATACATAACAAATATTCAAACAAAAAGTTTGTGCATTATAAAATTTTAAAAAAATATAAGCGCGCGTAAATATTTTTATAAATACTGTTCATATTCTTAAATAAAAAAAAGTTTTACTTGTATAAATATTTTATTATAAATACAAATTTTAGGAATATTATATTAACTTTATAAAAACATCTTTTTGATCAACAAAAAGATTTGTAGATATTTATTTATATTTATTTAAATCATATGTTGGTATGCTACTACAATTTCACGAACCTTTATAACGTACAAGCGAGCGTCTAAATGTTGATCGCAATTTTTTTCTTCCTCAATATATAAAATTTCTCTTTTTACTTTTTTGCATTTATTTGCGTACGAAGAGTCTACTAGTGTTACTTCCATTACTTTTTTTGGAATAGTTACTTTCCCAACTAGATCTGGGACTTCAACTGATTCTGTTTCACAGACGGGTTTTTTTTTTGAAAACGTATGTATGTCGTGGTTATGATTAGTTTTAGGAACATGTTCTATTGTTGAATTAAAAACAGAGTAGTTTTCAAGTATAATTTTTAATACACGTGTAGGATCTTCATGTTCGCGGCCGCGGCATGGTTGAGAGATTAGCGGAATCGCTTCAAGCGTTCCTACCTAAAAATAAAAATAAACTATAGACATAAAGTTTTATTTTAAAATTGTATAGAAAATTACGATAACTTTTTTGCATTACTTATAAATACCTATTAGTTTATAACAATTAATTTATTACAAATTTTATTAACACAATAATTAAGGTTAACATCTATTTTAAATTTAAATTAAACGTTAGGAAATAAGTTTAAAAAATAATATGTGCATTAAGCAACCTACCAGTAGCATGGAAAATAGAAATATCAATAGCATTTTTAATATACTGATATAGCTTATTTAATAAAAGTATTAACTTCTTAATTTCTTTAATTTTCTTGTAAAGTAGGTTATATTTTAAGCAGGTAATACTTTGCTAGAACTTAATTACTTAAATACCAAAACGATCGTAATCGACGGCTTATCGAAATAATTAACGAACATGTTTAGATTTCTTAAATAGACCTTTCGATGAAACTTTTGCTTTCTATACTTGAAATGCATTACAGGTTTTATAATAAAGCTGTTGCAAAGCAAAATGGTAGTTGCGTAATTGCAGCGAAACTGCATTACATAAGGAAAATTTTAAAGTGTAAAATACTAAAAAAAGCGAAAAATATTATTAGTCTTAAATAAAAATTTGTTATATTCTTTTTTCCTTTTATTAACTTTTTTTTTCAACTTAATGTATAATCAAGAGTGTATAAGAGGGTTGGTAGCTAGGTAGGTAAACTTATACAGCCGAACCAAGCATTTATTAGTCTCCGAAACAAATAAGAAACTTTGCTTGAATCTATTTTAGCCTGAATCGACGTGACGTGACGTGACGTGATGTCTTTTCAAATCATAAAGTTTAGAGCTACACAATCAAAAGTTTGCCCTTCAAAAACTAAATTCTTTAGAAGTTGTTTTATTATATGAAACCTGTGAAGTATTTTACGCAAAAAGTTTTGTTAAGCAGTTAAAATTATTGTAAATGAATGTCTGATATTTTAGTAATTAAATTTTAACAACTAATTACTAAATTAAAACAACTAACTTTAATAAATTAAAACAACTAATTTTGACTAGATAATTATTAATTACCTGGTCAGAATATTCTCATTGAGTATACGACGTCTAAAAGACGTGTAAAAGACGATTAGACTTCTAAACGTTTTTAAAACGTAGAGTGTTTAATACGTTATTTGCTTCAAAAATGACGCAATTCTAGTAAATAATTTTATAATTAATTTTTAAAATGTCAAATGATAAGACATATTTTAGCCTCTGTTTCAGGTAATATTATAATAATATATGTAAACCTTTTCATTTTGTTACAATAGAAGCTTTGCGGATTATCAAAGACTGACAAATTAGTTGGTGTTGTTATTGATTTCGACTAAATCGACTAAAAGTGGACTAGTCGAAATATGAAGTCAACTTTGAAAAATCAAAAAGTCGATTTAATCGTCTACGGATTTTTTATTAAAAGTCGATTTAGGTGGTTAATAATCTCAAAATCCTTATATCTATTTATTCAATTTAATTTTTCAACCTTCTATTTTTGTTTGTTATATTAATATCAATAGCATATACTCTTACAACTTTTACATGGTATCTAGTTTTTTGTTTATTATGCTGTTTTATCTTATTCATTGCTTGTTAGCAATATTTATACCTAATTAAACTTTTGGTTTAGATTTCATCAATTTTTTTTTTATTTGTTCAATTTTTGTGATTTTCGAAAATGCTTTCATTCAGGGCCGTTCCGAGCTGACTCGGGCCCTAGAGCAAAATTAAGTTTTGCAGCTTTAAAATCAGCTCTAAAATTTATTTCATGAAAATTTTTATTCAAATATATAAAGTTAAAAAGTTTACAATTGAAGATTATGTTAAAACAACTATAAAAATTAAATAAAAATATAGAACGCGGCAACTCAAAGTAAACTTAGAGGTCTTTTCATGAGAACCGCTAAAGTTTGACGCGTTAATTAATGTTGATGTATACTCATACAATGCGATTTCCTTTCAGTATACCACAATTTTTGTAACGAACCTTTCATTTTCCTTCAAAATTATTATTTTTCTTTAACCATTTTAAAACACTTTTGTAAGTACATAATTGAATAAATTGTCTTTTTTTTCTTTATTTTTTTAAAAATATATAATGATTGTCTTTGTCGAATATTGATTAGTATATCACGATTGTCTTGTCAAATTTTTAATTAAAATTATTTTATTGTCATACGATTAATTTTATGCACTTGGTGATTTGTAAAAGTTCTTCTTTGACCCACGCGCAGCAACTGAACAATTTCAGCCGTTTTAGGCAAGTAGGTTAGTTTTGAAGGTCATACTAGTCACTTACATGTATAAACATACATAACATCTTATGTGCATATAGAACATTTGTATGAACACAAGTAAACACATAGACTTATACAAATAAAACACATACATACATATTACATACATACATAAATACATATATACATAAATGCATACATGCGCACACACATATATACATACACTCATATATACATACATACATACATACATACATACATACATACATACATACATACATACATACATACATACATACATACATACATACATACATACATACATACATACATACATACATACATACATACATACATACATACATACATACATACATACATACATACATACATACATACATACATACATACATACATACATACATACATACATAGCATACATACATACATACATACATACATACATACATACATACATACATACATACATACATACATACATACATACATACATACATACATACATACATACATACATACATACATACATACATACATACATACATACATACATACATACATACATACATACATACATACATACATACATACATACATACATACATACATACATACATACATACATACATACATACATACATACATACATACATACATACATACATACATACATACATACATACATACATGCATGCATGCATACATACATACATACATACATACATACATACATACATACATACATACATACATACATACATACATACATACATACATACATACATACATACATACATACATACATACATACATACATACATACATACATACATACAGTGCCGGCCTTAGGGGGGGCGAGGTTGGGCACCGCCCAAGGGCGCCAGGAAACTGGAGCGCCAAACATTGTATGGAAACTTTAACAATATAATAAATAGAAAAAATAAGTCAACCTAAATTTTTTCGATTTCGATTTTCGATTTTTTGTTATTTTTTCGAATGTTTGTTTTTTTTATAAAAATAATTTCTTTAAATAATTTCTTTATTGTATATTACACTGTTAAAAATTCTTTATGCAAAATTAATAATTTGATTAAAAGTGTTTCAATCATAGCATTTATTTTGTTACTTAAATTCATTTTTTTACTTGAATCTTTCTCGGCGCCAATTATTTTGCGTTCCATTTATTTAAAGTTTAAATTTTAAACATTATTTTCGGTACGAGTTGCGAGCGCGTTGTTTATTAATTTGTAGAAGAGATTTGAAGTTGTATTTGTGATTCAAATTCAGTTTTTGTCAAGTTTTCAAATTTTGAGGTAATAAAAAGCAGGTAAGTATAAATATTGAAATTGTTTATGAATTATTAGTGAGTAATGCGAGTAATTTTTTATTTTTAAGTTTTAGACAAATAGAAACTGTCAGCAGCAATCAATGTACTCATAATAAAGAAAAAAATGTTTTTAAAACTCATAACAATAAGAAACCATCTGGTGCTCAATACAGAAAATGTACAGCAGAAAAAGTTGATAATTTGAAGAAAAAATTATAAAAAACTTGAAAATTTTTTTACATCGGAAAATAGTGATTGTAATAAAATAAAGGAAGGAGAAAATGTTGCGCATGTACTTAGTGATACATCAACCAGAGATTTTGGACTGAATATAAGCTTTTGTCGAGGGCAAGGTTACGACAATGGTGCAAATATGAAAGGTAAAAAAATAGGTTTACAAAAGCGAATATTAGATTTGAATCCTTTGGCTTTTTACCTTCCATGTGGAAGTCATTCTCTCGATTTGGTTATTTATGACGCAGTGTAGTCTTCACTAAATTCCATTAACGTTTTTGGCATAATACAAAGATTATTCACATTATTTTCTGCATCAACTTCACGCTGGAATGTTTTACTTAGTCATACAACAAACTTCACTCTTAAACGATTATGCGACACTCATTGGGAAGCCAAAATTGAGAGCCTCAAAGCCATCCGATACCAAATAAGCAGCGTACATGATGCTTTAATTACTATACATGAAACTGAAACCAAAACTCCCGATATTGCACACGAAGCGCAAACATTAGCAGAGCAGAACTTTAATTGCATGGTTCAATGTACTATTCAAAATAAACGTTGTTAGTAAAGCAATGCAAGCCAAAGACATGGATCTAGTACAGTGTTGAAAAAATGCATCACATTTTTGGAAAAATACAGGACGTTTGGCTTTAAACAAGCAACGGTTGATCCCAAAGAGTTAGCTGAAGAGTTAAACATCGATGCAATATTTAAGCCGCTTAAAAGAGTACGACGAGTGAAACGTCATTATGATGAAAATGCTGCTGACGAACCAATTCAAAATCCCGAGAAGAAACTAGAAGTGACATTTTTAAACCCTTTATTAGATACATGTCTGTCGTCAATAAATGAAAGATTTGAACAACTTAATGAATATGTAAATATATGGAGTTTTTTATTTAATTTGGATAATTTGCCCATCAAGAATGAACTTTTTAAATTGTGTAAACAATTACAAGAAAAATTAACTGTAAATACAAAATCAGAAATTGATGGTACTTTGCTATGCGACGAACTAATAAGTGTGCAGTTTTTTATTAAAGATAAATTAAGCAATGTTGAAAATGAAATAAATACAAAAGAGATGACACCATTTTTTGTACTGAATTTTATTAAAAAACATTGTCTACAAGTTATATTCAAATACATGGATTGTTCTGCGCATTCTTCTTACAATACCTGTTACTGTTGCTAGTGGAGAACGTAGTTTTTCTAAACTGAAGTTAATCAAAACATATTTAAGAAATACCATGTTGCAAGATCGACTTAATTCTCTATCTATGTTATCAATTGAGCAAGATATAGCTGAAAATTTAAATTTTTCTAGTTTGATAAGAAATTTCGCGGACAAAAAAGCTAGAAAAGTTAGAAAATTTATAATTTTAATAAAAAATTAATTAAATAAGAAACTTGATGCACAATATGGATCTCTTTGCATTAAACTATATATTCCTTTTAGCACTCTTGTTCATCATTTTAGAGCATTGGTCTCGTTGTTAATGGTAACAACCCACCCATACATACCTAGGGGCGCGTTCACAAGTTTTGCCCAACCTATCAAAAAAGCTAAAACCGGCGCTGCATACATACATACATACATACATACATACATACATACATACATACATACATACATACATACATACATACATACATACATACATACATACATACATACATACATACATATATACATACATATATATACACACATACATATACACATAGACATACATACGCACACACACACATTAATACGTATACATGTATATATATATAAAAAATCTAAGATTGTTTATGAAATTCCATTGCAAATATAATTGCATTTTTTTTTTGATATTTAGCAAGTATTCAAGACGGACCATTAGGGGCTTGAAAATAAATTATTTTGTCGTTGGAGTGGCCCTGCTCTCATATTAATTGGTTCCATTAATATTTAAAAGACTAGCTGAGATCGGTCCCGTAAAAATACGGGTCTTTGTTTATCTATTCCAAACCGAACTTTTCTATACTTTTTCCTTATATATTCTAGCTTTCCGGATCCATAAAATACAGGTCTTTACTAATTTACATATCTATTTCTAGCCGAAAATTTCTATACCTATTCCTTATTTACTTCAATATTTTTTAGTAAAATAATTTATTCTGAAAAAAAATTTAAGAGCAAAAAACTAAACATGCGCACCTTTTCCGCATACGTAAAGCTTATAAGATACTTATAATTAGGTTTGTTTTTCTCCTAAATCCATTTCATTGATAGCTCAGTGATTAAGTGCGCTGTCATCAGTGTTGTTTTGGAGGGTTTAAGACCTTCTCTTAGCGTAATAAGTTTTGAAATTTTTTCAATCTTGCTTATATATTTATAGCAAAATAATAATAATAATATAGCAAAAAGGATTTCTGAAATTTGAAATAAAATTTTAAAGTTTTCTTATTTTATAGATATATAAAATAATATGTAAGATAAAAAAAAATTTTAAACAAAATTTTAAAGTTTTCTCATTTTGAAAGTATATAGATAGACGCAATTATTCCTTATATGCCTGGAAACTCAACTTATGCTAAGACATTTACACTTACAGACGTTTGTACGTAACGTTATACAAATGGAACTAAGAATATCTTAGAGCGCTATAACATAGTCATTAAAAATGTTCTTTCTTATAATTATGATTAAAAACTAAAGAATATTAAGCCAAAAAGATTTTGCGCATTGACGTCAGTTTGTGGCAAAATAAACCTTTATACGTCAACTTTCCTTTTGCATTTATCTTACATTTTTTTAATTAATTTTTATTATGTTGCATACAAATGCATTAAAATATATAAAACTGGTACAGATATATCATTTTAACAGATAAGAGATTGCAACTATTACAATAGTAATAAATAAATAGTTTTGGAGCCATCTGTAAAAGACGTCATCATTTTTTGACCTCTTTCCCCTTTATCACCGGTTGTTCTTTTTCCCTATGCCCCCTTGAATAGGACGTCATAAAATCCTTCCCCCTCCCCCAACCAAATTAATCCCCCCTTAAAATTATAAGATCTCCCAATGATGTTTGAAAAAATAAAATTAAAAGTATTCTTATATATTATCTTCTTAAAAACACATATTTACATATTTTTTCATGTTAATTAAACTACCCAGACAGCCTCCCGCTAGCGGCCCAATGCTGGCCCAGTTCCGCTTGCGACTACGGCGCGATGACGGCCGTCGATCACGGGCCTGCATCAAAACGGCCATTGGGCCAGCACTGGCCCGCTAGCCATGGGCCAGTATTGGCCCGCAATCGTTCGCCAGCACTGGCCTGCGATTATTTGCCAGCACTGGCCCGCGATCGCTTGCCAGCATCTGTTGACAGTACTGATCCGTGATCATTTTCCAACAATCTTTCGTGTTTGCGTGTCAGCTCTAAAGCGTTACTTTTTACTAGATACTTTTACTACATACACTAGCACGTTATTATTAGCCGTTTCCGTGAAAATGTGTTATTCCATAAAATTCAAACAAATAAGTATATTTGAAATTTATTGTAAACCAAAAGTGTTTTAATTAATAATGAAATAATAAAAACAAAAACGTTGAATGAATCAAATATTTATTTTTGCAACGAATTTTTAAGATCTTCCCGAGCTTTACGGCCGCCATTTCGATCACCGGAAAGTTGAAAGTATCTTTTTATCCAACGTTCAACCTCTTCAGACACTGCTCCTGAAGTCGAAGGATTTATTTTAACAGCATCTAAACAGTGTGACTACATTGTATAAATGGAATATATTTATGTATACATTAGTAAATAATTAAACATATATATATACATATATATATATATATATATATATATATATATATATATATATATATATATATATATATATATATATATATATATATATATATATATATATATATATATATATATATACACTACCGACAAAAAGTTTGAGGCAGGTACTAAATTTTTTAAAATTGCTAAATAAATAAACTTTTTCTAATATGATTTGTACTTTAATGATAATGAATACAAAAACTAATAAACATTAAACATTTTTTTATTATAAATTCTTAATTATAATTGTTATTTTAATTAAATTTTTGATTCGTCAAAATATCCTCCTTTATTCTTTATTACAGCGGCACAAATCTTTGGCATTCTATTGATCAATTTACGTAGTATTTCGGGTTGTATTGCATTCCATTGTTCTTCCAACATGTTCCAAAGGCTTTCTCGAGAAGATGGTTGCGTTTCTCGCACTTTTCTGTCAAGTTCTTCCCATAACAACTCGATTGGATTGAGATCCGGCGATTGTGGTGGCCAATCCATGATTTTTAGTACTTCTTGTGTTTGGAGGTCTTCTAAATACGACTTACAAATTTTGCTAGTATGCTTTGGATCATTATCATGCATAAAAACATATTGATCCGGAAATAATCTCTCACCAGACGGCAGTACTTGTTGTTCCAAAATTTCTCTATAAATTTCTTTCGTCATTATTCCTTCAATTCTGTGGATCAATCCAACATTTTCTCCACCAAAACATCCCCAAACCATGACAGAGCCACCTCCATGTTTGACAGTCGGCACTAAACATTCTTCAGAATACCTTTCTCCAGCATATCTTCGGACGAAAACGCGTCGTTTTGAACCAAAAAGTTCGAATTTGGACTCGTCTGTCCAAAGCACGTTTTTCCATTGTTCCATTGACCAGTTTTCATGCCTTTTAGCCCAATTTAATCTTTTTATTTTGTTAACTGGCCTTAATAAGGGTTTACGAGCAGCTACACGTCCATGTAAGCCAACTTGCTTCAGCCGATTTTTGACAGTCGAAGTGCTAATTTTAATTTCGTTGAAATTATTGTAAACTGATCGGATTTTTTCGGCAGTATACCTTCTATTTGATAAGGAAATGTTTTTTATTTCCCTATCTTGTAGTTTGTTAGTCTTTTTAGGTCGTCCAGAGCGGTTTTTGCTTGTATGGACACCACTTTCATGGTATCGTTGTAGTGTCCTTTGCACACAACATCTTGAAATTTTCATTTTTTTTGCTATCTGAACTTGTGAATAGCCCTCTTCGTGGTAAACAAGTATTCTTTCTCTTTCTGCAATGGTTAATTCTTTTCTTCTAGCCATTATTTGGACTTTTAGTTCCAAAACAAAAAAATTCAAAATTTTGTTAATAAAATATAAACTTTCAATATGTTTTTAATTACAAGGGAACAAAAGACCACTCACAATGACATTCAATCAAAGAAACACTAATCTAAGCTATCTGCGATCTTCTACTTGCACCAACAAGTACCCATGTTTGTTTTTTAAACAAATAAGAAATGTAGATTATGATGTATCAGCTATCCCTTGTTGATTAAAATATTATATATATATATATATATATATATATATATATATATATAAATGTATATAAAAATAGTTGATATATATATATTATATATATATATATATATATATATAAATGTATATATATATATATATATATATATATATATATATATATATATATATATATATATATATATATATATATATATATATAATATATATATATATTACTATACATATAAACATATTTGTGTAAATTATCGTGATTCAAAAACGACTTTTTTTTAAATAGTCCACTGTTCAACCTAATATGTGTTCTCTATAATAAAATTTTATTATAGAGAACACATTTAAGGTTGAACAGTGGACTATTTAAAAAAAAGTCGCTTTTGAATCACGATAATTTATGGCATTAATAACGCTAAATTTGAAGTTTTTTAAACAAAAAATATTTTTAGGGGTTGCAAAAGTACCGAGTTCCTAATATTATTGGGAAAAAAATCAAAATGTCAGCCCAGTACTCAAAAGATGCACAACTAAATGTTAAAAATAATTATAATCAACACAAGATAAAATAAATATATAATAAAACACAAGATTTAAAAATAATTAACATTTACTTTATCTTGTAAGTTAAAAAAAAACATTTTTTTTTTAACTTTATGTGCAGTAAATTTTGAAAAAATAATTTGCATATAGAATGATTAATATTTGTTTTCCAGCACCAAAATTTTAAATCTTGTTTTTTATTATATAAAATACATTTACGTTTGAGGAACGGACTATATAAAAAAAAGTTGTTTTTTGAATCAGCATAATATATATATTTATACAAATGTTATACATAGAATGAAATTTCTTCTTACCCAATAAAACTTTTTTTAAAGGCATTGTTTTCAAAGCAAGCTTATTGTTAGCTCCTGACCAATTTATTTTTTTTTCTATATTGGTGCCAATCACCATTGGAATTAAATTCCAAACAGTCCTCTTAATTGTTGAGCCACCATGGGATGCCAATTTCATGCTCTAAAATTTACATACACATTATACATGATAACCATCTTTGTCTTTCATCAACAATTTTATTTAACTTTGTAAAATACTTATTTAATACTAAACTGTTAATTCAAAATAAAAATACTTTTAAAATGTTTTGTATAAAGAAATAAAAAAACAACGAATAAATGTATGGCTCACACTTACCAGTGCATTCATAACTTTCTTATCTGATTCGATGTTTTCGTTTAATTTGAGTAAGCTTGACTCATCATTTACTGGAATTTCGAAAGGTTCATCAACCAAAATTGCTTCCCTGTTTTGTTTAAGCATTCCAATAAGTTGACTTATTAAGGCATTATTTGTATCTAACTTTTTGTTCAGGTTCTCTACTGAAATAAGAAGCTCTTTTTCAACTGCTGTAAAAATATTTAATATTAGGCTACACCATCTCAACGATTATGAAAAATTTTAAAACTATATAAAATAATAAAATCTTAATCAAACGGAATTAAGCGCTACAGATCAAATCTAAAGG